AGGTGAGGGGACAATGGGGACAGGTGACAGGTTAGGGGACAGGGGGACGGGTGAGGGGACAGGAGGACAGGTGAGGGGACAGTGGGACAATGGGGACAGGAGACAGGTAAGGGGACAGGTGAGGGGACAGGTGAGGGGACAGGGGACAGGTGACACAGGGGACAGGGGAGGGGACAGGTAAGGGGACAGGTCAGGGGACAGGTCAGGGGACAGGTGACATGGGACAGGTGAGGGGACAATGAGGACAGGTGAGGGGACAGGGGACAGGTGACACAGGGGACAGGGGAGGGGACAGGGGAGGGGACAGGTGAGGGGTGACACAGAGGTGACAGGAGGTAACGGCTGTCTGTGATCATTGTCCCACAGTGACCCAGGTGACACCGACAGGTGACACTGACAGGTGACACTCACAGGTGACACAGGTGGCACTGGCAGGTGCCAGGTGACACAGGTGTCTGTTTCCTGTCCCCACAGTGACACAGGTGACACAGGTGACAGGTGACACGCGGGTGGTCGGTGGCCACGCCTGCGTCCCGCACTCGCAGCCCTGGCAGGTGACATAGGTGACACTGACAGGTGACACTGACAGGTGACAGGTGACACTGACAGGTGACACAGGCGACACTGACAGGTGACACTGACAGGTGTCTGATCATTGTCCCCACAGTGACACAGGTGACAGGTGACACGCGGGTGGTCGGTGGCCACGCCTGCGTCCCGCACTCGCAGCCCTGGCAGGTGGCCGTGCTGGACATGTACAAGCTCTACTGCGGGGGAGTGCTGGTGGCACCGCGCTGGGTGGTGACCGCGGCGCACTGCACCACACCAGGGTAAGGACACACCTGGGGACACACCTGGCACACCTGGGGACACACATGGGGACAGCTGGGGACACACCTGGGCACACCTGGGTAAGGACACACCTGGGTAAGGACACACCTGGCACACCTGGGGACACACCTGGGCACACCTGGGGACACACCTGGGGACACCTGGGTAAGGACACACCTGGGTAAGGACACACCTGGGGACACACCTGGGGACAGCTGGGGACACACCTGGGCACACCTGGGTAAGGACACACCTGGGTAAGGACACACCTGGGAACACACCTGGGGACAGCTGGGGACACACCTGGGACACCTGGGGATGGGTGGGAACACGCTTAGGACACCCTGGGGACACCTGGGCACACCTGTGAGAACTTGGGGACACCTGCAGTCACCTTGGGAGCACCTTGGGGAACACACCTGTCCTTCACCTGTCCCACTCATGTCCCTGTCCCTGTCCTTGTCCCCTCTGTGTGTTCCTCATGTCCCTCAGGTGTCCCTCAGGTGTCCCTCAGGTGTCCCTCAGGTGTCCCTCAGGTGTCCCTCAGGTGTCCCTCAGGTGTCCCTCAGGTGTCCCTCAGGTGTCCCTCAGGTGTCCCTCAGGTGTCCCTCAGGTGTCCCTCAGGTGTCCCTCAGGTGTCCCTCAGGTGTCCCTCAGGTGTCCCTCAGGTGTCCCTCACCTGTCCCATACCTATCCCACCTGTCCCTGTCCCCTCCATGCGTTCCCCATGTCCCTCAGGTGTCTCTCAGGTGTTCCTCACCTGTCCTCACCTGTCCCACCTGTCCCTGTCCCCTCCATGCGTTCCCCATGTCCCTCAGGTGTCCTCACCTGTCCCTCACCTGTCCCCTCAGGGTGACCACGGTGGCGCTGGGCAAGCACCGGCTGTACGCGCGCGAGGCATGGTGGCCCCCATGTCCCTCAGGTGTCCCTCCGGTGTCCCTCAGGTGTCCCACCTGTCTCCTCCATGTGTCCCCCATGTCCCCTGTGTCCCTCAGGTGTCCTTCAGGTGTTCCTCAGGTGTTCCACACCTGTTCCACTTGTCCTGTCCCCTCCATGCGTTCCCCATGTCCCTCAGGTGTCCCTCAGATGTCCTTCAGGTGTCCCTCAGGTGTCCCTCACCTGTCCCATACCTGTCCCACCTGTCCCTGTGCCCTCCATGTGTTCCCCATGTCCCTCAGGTGTCCCTCAGGTGTCCCTCAGGTGTCCCTCACCTGTCCCACCTGTCCTGTCCCTTCCATGTGTCCCCCATGTTCAGGTGTTCCTCACAAGTCCCACCTGTCCCTGTCCCTCCATGCGTTCCCCATGTCCCTCAGGTATTCCTCAGATGTTCCTCAGGTGTTCCTCA